TGCGCATGATTAAGAGCTTCAATCTGTTCACTGTTTTACCACTGGATGGGGTATACTCATACATGGAGGGACGATTTGGATGTGTCAGTTAACCTAGCTGGCATTGGAAGGAAAACTGGAGCACCAGGAGAAATCCAAGCATACTTGGGGAAAACGTGCAGACTCCACTCAGAAGACACCCCAGCCTAGAGTTGACTGCAAAATCCAAGAGCTGTGAGGTGGCTCACTCGGTTTTTAATGCACAAATTATACGTCTTCATTAAAATAAAACAAAAGTACCCCTTTATATTTAGTGACAGTTTCTGTAGTGGCTGAAGTGTTATGCACAAACTGCTTCTGATGTTACTATTGCCTGCTGCATTTATTTCTTACATGTGCCTTAATGTGCCTCATTGATTTTCCTGCAGTGATTTTAACTGGACTCATAACAATATTCTTTATCAATTTCAAAGGTTCAATTGGGGACCCATAACTGAAGAAGGTTTGGCCGCTGAAACTGAAACTTTTTAGCATTCATGTGTTTCTGTATCACTTGTTAATCTTGTTACTCTTCTTTTCAAAAGCTTGTTCATCCTTTTCTAACAGAAGATACAAAACAGTTCTCAGCAGAATACAAAATGCTCAGTGCACTTTATTAAACAATATCTTTTGGAAAATGAAAGATTAGAAGTGGCATGAATACATTTACATTTAAGTATTGCTATACAATGTGAATTTCATTTAACACATGGAAAGTGGTCTCTTAGCCTTATTAGGCTTTACTGGTGAGTAATAGTCAAATAAATATAAATAAAAATAATACTGTTTTATTGTTTCATTGTACAGTAATGCTTTGAAAATTATTGTATGATTTTTCTAAGATTCCGGAACAAATCAGAGGGATTTACATATAATCATCAGGAAATTAATTTTTAAGTTACAAATATTTGCCTTATGAACAGTTTTCATGGAACGAGTTACATTTGGAAAATAAACCACATTAAAATAAAAACAAAGGTTTTCCAGTTTTTAGGTCATATGGTAAATGTGAAAAATGTCTCAGTTGTTGTTCATAACAAAACCTACAGTAGCTCAAAGAGTTTCACAACAATAGTTTTTAATACCTGCACTACACATCAAATGAAACATATCACTTTGTACATTTTGGTTTTAAAAATAACTATAATGGTTTTGATATTGATTGATTGTTAGGATATAATTTGATTAATCGATGACTTATAGTTGACCATTATACAATCAAACTACTTTTACTGGAGTGTTAAGTATAAATCACGCCATGGACACAGGTGATATGGTTATCTAACTTGTTGAATGTCAAGCCTGGTAAACATCAAGAATGGATCATTTAAAAATGATCTGATCTACCCTGATTACTAAGAGAACCACATCTTTTTGTCATGAGTATGCTGGAGGCTGGTCTGTCAGCATACTGTTTTTTGCTGGCTGTGGCGTTCACAAGATCGTGGGTCAGCTGGAGCCTATCCCAGCACGCAAAGGGATGCCAGTCCATCTCAGGGCATGCACACAGTCACACCAGGGCCAATTTTCTTAGAATTATGTCTTAGGACTGTGGGAGGAAAACAGAGCACCCAGAGGAAACCCATGCAAACATGGGGAGAACATACAAACTGCATGCAGATAGCACCCCAGGGCCCCACAGCGACACCGTGTTGCCCTCTCGTTATCTTATACTGTATACTAAAGAAACCTTTTATTACTGTGTGTACATAAGCATAAGCACACATTTAACAGAATCAGTGGTGTAATAAGTCATTTTTCTGAAACATATAAAACATTGGTGTGGAAGTGTGCGTATATTTGAGTAGCCAGTTTTTCTGACTGAAGGCAGCCTGTAATCACCTGGAAAGAAACAGTGCAGGGAAAATGCAAATGTATCATTTAGCATTGCAGCAAATGTGCCTAAGGCTGCATCTTAAAATAGGCTTCTGCTTAATGATTACAAAGGCTTACCTATAATGTGATACAGTCATTTCCTCATTAAGTCGAGACACATAATGGATTTTTAAGAATGAGCAGTGCACCAAAACATACTCTGCTTCTGTTGTTCATTAATGTAGGAAAATGTTTTGACAGCTGCCTTCAGCACCCTGACAGCACAGTATAATGAATGATTGGGAACATTTATAAGGTGCAGTTTTTTGCAGATATATTTAAGATGGTACCTTTTGTAAATTGTTTAAATTTTGATTAATAATTAGATGTAATGTTCTGTAGCATCTCATTTCTATTAATGAAAATCATGTTTCACTGAATTCTTTTTGGAAGTGACCCTAGCACATGCGAGATAACATTTCTTGCATCATATTCACCATACAGTATGATACATTGTGACCCGATCCTGTAGCATATGCTCACAAAAAAAGTGTTAGAAGCTATTGTGATAACGTCAAAAATAAGCATTGATAAAAAGGAGAAGAAGAGTCCAACCATGATTAAAAAAGTTAAACTTTGAAGGAAATTGTGAAAATTCAGTTACAACAAATCTTTTAAAAATGCTTTTACACAGAATCCACTTTAGAGCTGTTAAAAAGACCATGAACAATAGTTATTTTTCAGATCAGTATTGAAAAACATGTTGTTAGCAACCAACCTCAGAACGTGATGCTATGGTCTAAATATAAGACTGGTAGTAAGCTTGTAGTTAATTCTATTAATTATTATTATAATATAATTATAAGACGAGGAAACTATAAAAATGCTGCTTGTGGGTATAAAGTATTTTAGAAGAGTTCAGGAGGATGAAAGAATAGACCTTGATAGTCTGTGTAGCATCATGGTGTAAAATTGTTAAAGACTCAATTATCTGACTTTTGCTCATTCAAGTAGTCCAGCTTTAATTTTAGATATAGAAGTTAGACACCCATTGCACATCTGTTGGATCTGATTGGACTGATTTATTTTTTCATATTTTGAAATTATTGACAGCTGTATGAAAGTGAAATTCTGTTATAATAATTTATGCCTTTATGCTGCACCATTAAACTTTGCACAAGAGAGTGAAGCTGTTTAAACTTGAATTGGATCCAACTAGTGTACATCCTTGAACGTCGCAAAGTACATTACAGGTCATTAGCAGACATGCACCTTTAGAGTTCAGCAGTTAATATGTGAACCTCTTACATAAGACCTATGACTACTGTAGTGCTGCCTTTATTCTGCTGAAGCTTGAGGTTCTTCATAAGGTACAACTTCATCTAAACATTTCTCTGTATGGGACAATATGGTACATACCATATACCACAAGATCTTTAAACATTAGGAATGTACAGCTGCCTTTTCAAATTTTAAATATCCGTGTTGCAGATATACAGGGGGAGTATCTTAGCATTGTCCTTCTAATTTCCTGAAATTACTGCAATTATTGATGTTTGAAGACTGTAAGAACTGAAATCAACAACATTATTACAATCTTTTCCACTTAAGCAAACATTTGGATTTTAAATTAGTTTTATTTAGATCCATCAACCGTACATAGTGGTTACAAAGCATCAACACTTTGGCTCAGATTGGCTCTAGTGTGAGTATTTTTTTATGTCTGCTTTTTAAATTTCTTTCATAGCATTTACTTAGGTTTGCTAGCTATTTCCCTATTGATTATTATCTATCAGCTCTAAAATAAGACTGTTAGAGATCACAGAGATCTTAGTTTAAACTGAAGGTAATATTTGGATACAGAAACCTGCAGGCACCTTCAAAGCAATATCTCACACTGCTTCTTTGGGTACTCTCCTTATCCTGGTTTCTTTTCCAGCAGGATGTCACATTTTTCTAATAGCTAATGGGGCAAGCACTAGTATCCTCACTTCTGTACGGTTATTTTCAGAACAGTCTAGCTTACCGAAGTCTGCTTACCTGCTTCAAAGAGATGATAAACGGTCCGACACAAGAATGTCTTCACCACCATGCTTCAGCCAAGTTAAACAGATTTTAACTTGTTCTATTGCAGCAGGTTGTATGAATGAAAGTATGCAGTAATAATGTATATAGATGGCTCTGTTTAAGCCTCGCTGAATTTGAAAATCCCTGTTTTACACATGGCTGCTGTCCTGCTGTGCTACTCACTGTTAGCTGAATACGTTTTTGAGGGGATTAGCAAAGAGAAGAGTTTTGACCTGTCATTCTTCCTTTCTTTCAACAGGTTATGAAATCAATGGCTTGGAAAAGATACCAGACAAAGGGCCAGCCCTCATTGTCTATTATCATGGAGCGATCCCGATAGACTATTACTACTTTTTAGCTAAAGTCATCATTCACAAGGGCAGGACCTGCCACTCTGTTGCTGATCACTTTCTCTTTAAGTTGCCAGGTAAATTAGTTGGTGTTATTTTAAAGCCTGCAAAGAAGCAGGTTTGTCTTGATTAAGATTGTGTTAATCCAGGTGAAAAAATCAGATCAGTTCAGAATAGAATAGAATGAATTTATTGAAAACGCAGTCATTTAGGCCAGCAGTCTCCCATGAACATTGATAAGAACCTGAATGATAAGCACAGATTGGGTAGGCATGTTTATTATGACACTGCAGAGTCCATGGGGCAGCTGCTGTCCCCATGAGTAAGAGGAACAGGATTTCTAATGTTTTGTGTGAAGGCCCAGATCATGACATTGACAGATATCTGCTATGAGGCAGCTTCTAATTACAGACTCCAGTGATGTGATGCCATCTGGCACTGACATCAGCAATTACATGGGTTAGTGCATGCATATAGGCAGAGATCTTGCTGAGTGTTTATTTTCTTTATTTTTGTTGTTTGTACAGTTTATTAAACAAATAGAAAAGTGCTTAATTTTCCAACAGAAAAAAACCATGTCCGATTACCATAATGGTATGGGCTTCCCAGAACGTTTGTTCTAATTTTTGGCTCTCAGCTGATTTATACCCCAGAGTATCTAAAAATATCAACAGATCAAAATATGTACAATATAGTCTACGGAAGTAGGTACTAGTTTTGTGGTAGAGACAGCAGTGTATTCTGTAACAACTAAATGTTAAGAATGTGGACTCTAAAGAGCAATAGGCTTTACTCTGCTGATTCAGTGTGTGATTAATTATTTGACATGTATTCTCTAGGCATTCTTACAGTCTGTCACTGTGTTCTTTTTCATTACTAATAGATTCAGATTTAAATAATCTCAGTAGGTGGAAGGTTGTTAGATGTGATCTCCTGATCTTCCACTCAGACTCTGAGGGGTTTTCACAGGCATTGACCTGTCTGTGGCCTCCGTCTTTCTGAAAGAGCTGTGTCTGCCCCAGAAGGGGTGGCCCAAAGTCAACAGCAATGGGGTGAAGGTCCTTGATTTCCAGCAAAAATCTGTTAAGAATCTACAAGTCTGCAATAAGTATAATAACTGCAGGAGCACTGCTGCTTAGCCTTTTAGATGACTATTTAATCAGGTTGTGAATTTCTTAAACGTGGGACACTGAGTTTTGGAAAAAAGGTGATCTTTTATGCAAGCAGCACTAAAAAATACAACAGAATCTCTCAAAGAGGCAGATTCATTTTTTGTTGTTGTTTTTCATTATACACATCAGCTCCTTGCCTTGTAGTATTAGAATTCATTCCCAAGGTGTACTGATGAGACACTTGCACTTGTTTCGCAAGTGCTTTATAATTTCCTCGTATGTATGGAAATCAGAGGCACTTATTTTGAACAGAGGCTGCCCTAATAAAACAAAATAATAAACCAATCCATTGGACTGGTCCTGTTAGTGTGTGTGCCACATGTTTGAAATGATCTGCACCTGCACCTTTTGTGTGCTTTGCTCAGAAAATATTATAATTATATAATGTGCACCCAAAGAAGAATTGCAACTTCAAAAAATGCTTAATGCTCTTAAGCTTTATACTTTCTTAGATGTTACTCTAAAAAAGAGGTGTGTGCATCTAAAGGGAGGAATAAGCAAAACACTGGTATGTAATGTTGCTGTCAAAACTGCTGAAGCTTTGTGCCCTCCCTGCCAGGGTTCAAACTGCTCCTGGAGGTGTTCAGTGTGATGCATGGGCCCCAGGAGGAGTGTACAAAAGCCTTGAAGAACGGACATCTCCTTGGTATCTCACCCGGTGGGGTGCGTGAAGCCCTCTTCAGCGACGAAACTTATGTTCTGTTGTGGGGGAACCGCAAAGGTTTTGCTCAAGTGGCTCTTGATGCCAAAGTGGTGAGTGATTTTGTGTCTGCTGCGGTTGACTGTGTTGTCCATTCACCTCATTAAATACAAAGAGATTTATGATACTGCAGACTTAGAATGTTTCACTTTTCTAATGTAGCCCACAGATTTTCATGACAGAGTGGATTAATGTATGTTCTTGACAATTTAGAGTTAATTATTAACAGAATAGACAGGTGTTTCTGGTGCTTGGTTGATAATTCTTGCTTTTCAAGGTACCAAAGTCTTGAAGCAGGGAATCCAAATGCTCTTATATTAAATTAAAGATGGTCCCACAGGGTTACATCTGTGAGAATAATTAGGGTTATAAGCTATGGTTTGTAGAAATTTTTGTAAAGACAAAATTAATAAAAACATCATTACTCATTTTGTAAAAAGGCCTGAGTTAACTTTTAAAAAGATGGGACATTGACCTCCTAATTTATATCATAATCGATCAATTAAAAAAAATGCCACATTATTTAGTACAGTTTGTATTTGAGATTTTCTCAGAAAACGGAGACAGGATTTGGCAGGATTTAAGAACTGTACTTCTCCCTTGATTGCTCAAAACGTTTCCTAACCAGAGGCAGAAATAGCATCAAAACAATTATACAGGACCATGAGTTTAAACTACTGTATCAGATTATGTATTAATACAGTATTTGCAGAGGTAATGTGTGTTTGTTTCTGTACTCCTTATGCAATCAAAATTTGAAAAGAAATGTTCTGCCCTTTTCTGGTGAAGGATGTTACACTTCAAATAAGTGCATTGACTCAAAATAGCCAAACGACAGTGGTGTCTCTCTTCCAGGACCAATTTAGCCCCCCTCCTATGGCTATATTTCCATTTCAGTAATCTTTGTATTTCTCTGAATCTGCTAAAGATTTACACATCTCCAATGACCTAAAACATTTCTCAATTCCTTATCAGCATTGGCTGTGACCTTGGTGGTATGTCTTGTTTACTGATCTGTGATCAATCACCATAACCAGCCTCTGGTGTGCAAGAATTCTTTTAGGAATGATTTCTGAGCCTGCATTCTTATCCCTTGAATTCTTATTCTGCATGGTTTGTGATGCACCATGCAGAAAAACTCTCACGGAGAAAAGCCTGAGATGGTGAAGTGTTCATTCAGCTCGACATACTGTACGTAGTTTTTGTGTTTCAGAGTGTTATGTTTATATTTACCTGCTCAGACATACAATTTGTCTGTGCCTAGAAAGAATGCAAGATCCTACAATTGGTTTGTAATCAGACATAACATACAAAATGTGAAGACTTTTATGCATTATTCTCTTTCTCTCAATAACACCCATCCACTTGCTACGGTTATATCAGGAAGATGCTCGTTCCTGCTAAAGGTCACAATTTAGAGACACTAATGAGTGAATTAGCTCAGCTGTTTGGACGATGGATGAAGAAGGAGTTAAGAATTACTATGATGTAAGTGATTAACTTGTCCGATTAAAGAAAAGCTGTTAACAAGTCAGCACTCTGTGGGGAGAAATGAAATTTATTATCCGGTGAGAGAGAAAGAAGAGTCTATAAAGCCTTGTATAAAGTGTATAAAGCCTTGTTATTAAAGTTGATTTGTAGGTTCTAATCATATGGAAAAGACGTTACAGTAAATTTGACTAGATTTCATATTTGAAATAACGTAATAATACTGTAATTTACAGGGAAATCTATGTGATCTATGTTTTAACACTTGCTCCAAACCCATCCCCCAGGCTAAGTAGAAAAATATGCATTTTATGCTGTTTTTGACAGAGACTTTAGAAAGTTTTAGTGGTCGGTTTGTGTGTTTCATTAAAAAAACATTCAATGACAGATGAGTTTGCAACCATTCTCTGAGAAGGTAAGTGTTTCGAGTGGAAAGGGAGCGGGGTACAGTGTGTGTGACAGCAAGATAAGAGCCATAGACAGAGATAATGAGTGGTGCTTTTTCTAACAAAATATGCATGAAAAGATTTCTCTTCATGGCTACAGTATATGATCATTTTTAGTACTGTTTTCACTTTTTATTTTGCATTGGACACATTTGTTTTTGCAGTTTCTAATACTGATAGTCTTACATTTTGTATGTTTTCATTTACTGTATACAGTATATGCAACAATTAATGTCAACTTGCATTGTATAGCTAAAACCAATTTTTACATACAGACCATCAAGCATATGAATATACAGTAGGGTCTCCACCTTACCTATTCGCAATTCGGTCTGGCCTACATGGTCTGGGATGAGAGAAGAGCAGAGCGGGGTGAAACCGAGCCTGAGGTTGCTAACTGCAACTTTCAAATTAGTGACATAACAGACTAGGACTGTGAGACGAATCTAGCTACAGTAGCGAGTGAGCCTTTCCCTGCAAAGACCCACTACCCAGCACCCGCAGCTCAACGTGCTGCTGTTTCTGTAATGTGTAACACTCCAGGTTCTGTGTCGGCAGTGTGGGGAATGACAGACTGGAGATGACTTTACAGGCCCACTGACAGTTTTATTACCTGTCTTATTACAGTGGGGTCTTCTAATCACAGAGCCAGAGAGAGAAAGTTCAGGCATCCACTGGACACAGAGGAGCGGTTCATGTTGTTGATTTTAGCTGTTTACTTTATTGTCTTCTGTTGTTTAAATTAACTTAAAGCCAGGGCATAAGAACTTCAGTTATCATAAACGGAATGGTTGCTCATGTTTTTAAACCATACCTACTCTATACAGTAGTACATTAGGCAACAGTAAAAGGGTGAACTAAGTTATAGTTGAATTTGGCCATTCGCGATGGTTCTCTGCAGTGAACCCTCATGAATGCCTAAGAGTTTATTGTGAGAAACTATGGGCTAGCTGTGACATTGAGAGAAAATCACCATAATTGTAAAAGTAATTTCTTTACCTTCGATGATTAGGAGATTCATTATCAAAATGTGCTTACTGTACTTGCAGCTCATTAGCTCCTACACAAGTAACTAACTAAAAATAACCTTTCTGAAGATTATTCTTTATTTTCCTATTCCAGCCCATAATTCCTATGTTTACACAAAATGTCCGAGAAGGATTCCGATCACTTGGAAGTATTAGTAAGTGATACGTGTTTTTCTTTTTTGGGTGAGAAATGACACAAAGCAAAAAGAAACATAATATCAACGTGTAGCCCATTTGCTGAGAAGCCAATGCATTTTTTCAGTGACAGAAATGCAGTGATGAGAAAGAAATGTGAGACTTTTTATGGAATGTTGGCAGTATTTAAGATGGAAACTTTCAAAATAGGTAATGTGCTTTTCTTATTTCACTTAGAGTCATCTTTCATGAAAGTGATAATGTATGTGGAATAATCTTTATTATTTTGTGGTTGTGGAGTAATATTGATAGGGGTATAATCATAGATTTACAATAATATACAGTACCCTTGTTCTGTGTTATATTTTACATTTTAAGGGCTGTATCGATGGCTGTATGAGAAGTTTAGATTACCAATTGTGCCCATCTATGGAGGTTTTCCAGTGAAGTTCCGCACTTACTTGGGTGATCCCATTCCATATGATCCTAACTTAACTGCAACCGAATTAGCACACAAGGTAAGTGTAAGGCATTTTTCAGTCCTGCGTTTTACATAGATACATAAAGTTTGATTTCTTAAAAATCTTTCTGATGATATATCATTTAAGTACTGTATGTGTATAAAAATTAAACATTTGATGTCAAATCAAACATCATTACTAACCATTACTAACAGAGTGCTCTCTGAACATTTGATAACACCATATAAAGACTGAGAGAGAACAGTGTTGTTAATTCTTTTTCACTGTATTACTTCATTAACTAACGTCATCTGTGGCCTTGAACTGAGAACTCCATTATCCTTTATAATATGCTAAAGACATTGATGAAACCTATAGAACTATACTTATAAGAAAGTAATGTCAAAAAACTTTGTGAACTAATATATGTGATTACAAATATTCATAATTTGTTCTCAATTAGTTTTTCTTTCTCCAAACATATTTGAAAAAGGATTTATTCATGCAGACTGTAGAAAACATCTGCTTTAGATATTTCTGCCTGTTTCTTACTTCCTTTTTTGCTTTGTAGTTAAAGAGATACTAGCACATATAGGTGCAGGAAGTTGGATTACTCAGTGTGCATAAAGTATGATTTTTTCATTTGGATTGAAGGGAAAAAGTTTGTCCTGGTTTAGTCCTGTTACTGGTAATGAAATAGGTTAAGACATGTTATACATGCCCTTCCGACAAGTACAGTCGATTACCTTAATTTCAGGATTATTTATCATGTGGTTCCTAAATACAGATAACTGAAACTTGGATTTAATGTTTCAACAGAGTAGCTATCTTCATCAGGCCTTAAAATCGAAGGAACAGATCACAGGGACATAAATAATCTTAATTTATTGAAATTGAACGTAATTCATGTCTCTAAGTATGATTATTTCACTTTAAATAGTAAATATACGTAACTGAGAAGCTCAGTTAAGCAATAAAAATAATAAAACAATAACACGAAATAAAATAAATTCAAATTATTTTATAGTATACTTGAATAAAAAAATATATATATAAAATAAAAAGCAAAAATGTATGTTATAAAGTTTGGTAGGTTAGTTAAGCACTGTAAACAGTGTTGTTCACAGAACACCGGTCTAAGAAATATCATTTACAATTTACATTATAATTAGTAATATATAAAGTATATACAAAATATATTTTATGTATGTACAGCATTTGTTTTGTGCTGGTGAACCAATATCACTTTGTTCGTATGGCATTCGTATTTGAATGTCTTTAGCTTGATTCTGAGAACTTTTGCCACTTATCTCACGAAAAGGACATACCACTGCACCTTGTGGTGTTTAACATGAACACATCTATGTGGAAATCAGAAATGTACTAAAAAACGATAAACAACACTCAGAATTTAGCTATAGTTAATTTTTTGCTCTGCAGCCAGACTTTGGTATCCTGCTGAGTACTCAGTTTATTATTATTATTGATTAAACTGGCTGCTTGTACCCCAGGTTAAATTTTAAGTCGCTCGCCTGTTTTCCCTTGCACTTTGAATGAATGCACTGATGTCACGATCCTGAAGCATGCACTGATGATGTCTTTCCCTTGGAGTTTCAAGCTGGCATCACCTTAAACATCTTTGCTCGTGAAATATCAGCAAGTTGAGCTGCCTTGATTGCAAAAGCTCATGCCAAATGCACCACACTCTTTCAGAATCACTGAGGTCACCTCCTACACACACCCTAGCCATAATTATAGGCAACCTGAGATTTCTTGAGTCATTGCTTAATTAACACATGAGTCACACCTGTATGCAAGCTCTTGCTTTCAATGTACTCTGTGTCCCTCATTTACATGTGTGTTTCCACTTTTATCTACTACCTGTATTGCTTGTTATATAGAACACCGTGGATTTTGCACTGTGGTCTAATGCTAGTATGCTATCAATATCATACATTTGTGATGTACATCTCTGCTGGTGAGTGGTTGTGCTACCTAGTATTTACATAGTAGCTGGTCACACCTCGACTCACTTGTCATTCAGGCTCCTCTCAAATTAGTAACTAAGGTAACCAGTTACCGTAGTTACTAATTTGAGAGGAGCCTTGTACTACCTGGAGGCAATTATCTACCATGCCCGCCTCAGGTGGTTCAAACTACTTAAGCCTCGATCGGGCAGTGTCCAGGAACTCTGTCGGTATATCCACCTTAAGAGCTGTTGGTATTTCAAAATATTTTCATTTCAAAACTATACATGCTGAGCTTTGTTTCTTAAGTTCTGAATGTTTCTTTTCAGTGTGCAACAGGTTGGGAAAGGTATGTGTAGAATGGCTTCAAGTTTAATTTAACTAAATTGGAATTTCTAGTTATATACCTCCTTAAACAATATAAGATCATTTAAGACGCGTGTCCAGAACATGTGTCGTTTTAATCTTAACAGCACTGAGCTGTGTATTTTAGATCGGTTTTACAATATGCCTAGAACACTCATGATCTGCAGAGGAAGTCAGAGCTGTAGTTGATTTGCCTCACAGCACCAACACAATTAAGCAAACACCTTTCATCCAAACTAAACTTTGTTTAACTGCATTCAATAGTTATACAAATGTCTATGTAAGAGGGGCATGTGGTGAAAACAGGACTTTACAAACTCACGAGATTGGAGGACACTCCAGTTTCAGTCTCCTTTTCAAGATAAGAGGGGACTGATCTGGAACAACAAATCCCTTATTGTTTGTACATGGCTCCAGTAACTCCTCACCTCACTTACAGTATTAAATTAATTGTGTTTTAATTTTCACATTCTGGTTCATTTGCAGATGTGTAGACTGCTAAAATACAAAGCTTAACATTTTAAATTGAGAGAAAAAAATGAACGATTTTTGTGTAACAAGTTATTATTATATATTATGTTGGTCCATTTTTTCAGGCTTTGTCTGGAAAGGTTTGGTAGATCTATAGAATACAGGTACTTGTATAACAACTATTTGCAGTGTAAATAGCTTGTCACCTGTCCGTATAATTGTATTTTGCATCAGCCTCAGGATCAGTCTCTAACTCATTCCTTTCAATTCCAGGTGCAGCAAGCTGTGCAGTCTCTTATAGACAGACACCAAAAAATACCAGGAAACATCCTCCGGGCTTTGTTAGAACGATTTCAAAGACAGAAAGAAGACTAGTTTTTAAAGACTGTAAATAAATATAAGAAAACTTTCCAGTGATCAGAATTCTTATAATAAGGTATGATCCTATTCTTAGTGTTAGATGATTTTATTTCATTATCCCTCTGTAGAATATGGTGTTGCATAAATTTAAGGACAGAAATCACAGAACAAAAGCAAAACTTTGTTCTGATTTTGTGTCTATGTGTGTGTGTGTTTTCTTTAATATGAATTTTAAATTATTAAGTGAATCTAATTAATACTTTTACACCAATTTCAGAAATGGTTTTCAGAGTTGTTGTTGTTGTGTGTACATGCATTTCTAGATGTAAACCCCATTGAAATATTATGACAGGACCTGAAACAAGCTATCCATGCAAGGCAGCCCTCGAACGTCACAGAGTAAAAGGCATTCTATAAGGAGGAATGGGACAAAATTCCTAAACACTCGTGTTATAGGTTAATCAACTGTTGCAGGAAACATTTAGTTGCAATCATTGCTGCTCAAGGTGGAGCCACCAGTTACTGAATCTAAAGGTTCACATACAGTACTGTTTCACACAAGGATAATAAATGTTGCATCATTTGGGGATATATCAATGCTGAAAGAGTATCATGTTTTGAGTCATTTTTAAGTTTGTGTATTATTCGGTGTTAGATCAGGATCTAATAATTTGTTAGGTTCCAAATATGTGAAGTGCATGATAATTGTTCCTAATTGTTTAGCACTATACTGTAGATGCTTTTTGGGGTGAATAAGCAGCCAAAATGTTTCTCTAAGCATCAGAATTCATTCTGCAGCTTCCAACAGGAGTTACATCATGTGTGAGACAGTTGCAGACATGACTCTGCATGCACATAGTCTTTTAGGCCAGTGGTCCTCCATTCTGGTCCTGCAGTACCCTTGTGTTTTCTTTTTTTAATTCTAATGGGCCCCTAAACACTAATGCTAATTGGTGTCTGTAATGGATGTGCTTATTGGTTTAGACTTTCTGTACTCTATCTATTGAGTAGCAAAAATACCCTTATTAAAATGCATTATTTCCAACAACTCCAGCACAAATTATGAAGTCTCTGAAGTCATCTTAGGAATTACAAATTACTCCCTTTTTTGACCAAACTGCTCTAAATAGGAGATCAATTGGTGATAAATAGACACAGGTGGAAATGACACTGTTTTAGTAATCTCTCACAGTGAGTCAGTGTTTTTCTTTCTGCTTAACTCCAATTAGCTATATTTTCAGCTAGCAGGCATGAAAGAAGGCAGTCCTGGAGCTCACTAATTAGCTCAGGGTTCATACCAATTCCAAATCACATTCAGCTTTTTAAGAGCTAAAAGCATTTTTTTGGAACCAATATCTGAATGCGGAACAAAAGCCTAAAAAACAAACAGATTAATTAATGGCGTCATTTAATACTGGTGTTTAAGGGCATAGATGTAACACGAACCAGCAGACACAGTAATACTCTAGGATCAGGATTGTAAATCACTGCCTTAGCTTACAGCAGCCTTAAGTTTAGATGTATAAGAATAGTTTAAAATTTCACAAAATTAGTGTAACGGTCTACTGTATGTCTACTTTAATCAAAGTGGTTTAACTTGGCTTCAGTTTAAATGTATCTCTCCCTGTAAGTTACATAAGATGTTGAATTTCAGGGCACAAGTCACATAGTTGTATGACAAACTGACCATGAAGATCAAGGATTTTCTTTTAAACAAATCGGGGGGAGAAAATGGGAGAGAGGCACACTTTGGGATAAAGTAACTTACCCCGGTCACTGAATTTCATGTTCATCTCATGGTTAGGGATGCCAATGTGAAACCAACAGAGTCTCTTATGGAGACAGGGGTCACTGCTCATATACCAATTAATTCCAGTCCCTGCACAACGCTTGCCCTTATGGGTGAGCGGCAAGAAAGAAGACTTTAGTGAAAACAAACTCATCTTCAATTTCATATGAGATGTACTGAAGACAACTGGCAGAAAGTGTGCTGATTCTAGGAGACATAAAGTGAACCTTATGGCCTCAATCCAAAGCCTTATGTCTGTCACACACTCAACACAATACTGTACATCACCCAGTCAGAGCCATCCCAATCCAAATGTCAAGGATGGTGGCGTCATGTTAATATCCCTAACGTGTGACTAGAACAAAAAGGCAAATATTCCAATGAAGCAACTTCTTAGATGAAGTAAGACTTATTTAATAATTGTGGGATGGAATAAAAATCAGCAGAGTCACCTTAACCGGGATTGGGAACCACTGTGTTAGGGGAAGACCTCTGATCAGCAGAGAGTAGGAAGATGTTAGAAATGATGGAAAAATGGAAGGTGCAAAGGATAGACAAATCAAAGAGGAAAATCTTCTTGAGGCACCCAAAAATCTAAAACTCAGTTTTATTTTTTACGCGCAAAGCCCAAGCTATACTGACATTCAAACGAGAGATTGAATGTCCTTAAGTGATTCAGTCAAAGTCCTGACTTGAATGCAATAGAAAATTGATAGAGAATTGATTGCAATCTATCAACGATTCCCATCAAGCATGTCTGAACTGGAGCATTTTAACTTGGAAAATAGGCAGAATTGCACCATACCAATGTGTGCACTGTGTCCAAAAGAACGGATAGCAGTATTTGCTGTTGTAGGTGCTTCGACCAAATACTGGCTTTGGGGGTACGTGTGATCAGTTTCTGTATTTACTTTAAAGAAAGGACTTACCTGCGTGTACAACTGGTATACTGTACAGATATAACTTCTAATGTGCCCTTTTTCATCTGGAAACATTACTTGTCTTCTACAAAATACATTGCTCAACAATCACAGGAGTGCAAGAATGTAACTTAACACAGGGGACCTACAGTATAATCAAATAATACAATATGGTAACCATGGTCAGTTTTATTTTGTATTGTTATGAATTTGTATATTTGCTGACAATCTGTATCATAATATACAAAGCCTGTGATGATTTCAGCAATTTTTCTCTCCCTAAACCATCATTTGATGTTTTTTATATGTATGATTCTGAAATGTCTCAAAAGCAGGGATAAAAATTAATACATTAGTAAGCTTTCACAACCTTTTCCATAAATATGACTCCAAAATACACGTAGATAAAATAGCTTATATTTTTACAATTACTAATTGTCTGAGACAATCATTTATATTTTGTTGCAGTTCCCTAAATCCTAATACAATTGAGCTTTTAATATGATATGCACATTTTATCTTCAAATAATGACAGTTGTTTGTTTGACAAGTCTGATTAATGATGATAAGATCTTGTACAGTAATCTGATTTATGTTTATTTTGAATACAATCTGCATGCAAATTGGATGCCTACATTTTCTGTTTTTTGGCATTCTGGATGTATATAAAAGTGTAAGAGATTTACAAGATGATGTTTTTTTGTGTAATGTTTGTGGCATATGTCAAGTTGCAGCTTCTACGTATTGTGCAACAGATGTACAGAATCTTTTCAAGACAATGATGTTAATTAAAATAAAAACATATTTATGTATTTAATAAGTACAAAAGAGAGGACTGCAGGGAAATGGGGCATAGTGTACAGTATGTACTTTAGAAAAAGCATAATTCTCTCCAGAACCACAGAGGTGAGAATTAATTTTCAGTATGTGCATTCACCAGAAAAAGAAAAAAGCATGGTGCACTTTATAATGGACCATTCTGATCTTTTTCATTGTTATGCATTCCAGTGTTCTTGTATTCCTCAATCAGCTTATTTTTGCCTATATAATCATTTAATATTACACATCTGACACTCTGTCCCCCTTCAGAAAACAATGTAACTTCTGTTATTGGCATTGTTTGAGTCTTACTGATCTGCTTACCATTGCTGATATTCTGCTGAGTATTAGAGCCAACAGACCAGAAATGTGGCAGATTTGCTGCCAAATGAAAATAAATTTAAGTTTGCACATTGTACGTAAACTTTACTTGGTCAATCACTTTTTGTTCTGATTTACGAAACGCAGTATCCAGGGCTTGTTTCATGTTCTTTTAACATTTTGCTACAGTATATTCTGAATTAGTAACCTCATATTGTTACAGAACACAGACAGAATCGTTTGAATTCAAACTGTTGTCACAAACAAGATCTTATCCCCCTTAATTTCCTGCCATGGAAATTCATGCTGTTGACTTTTATCAGTGTGCATTTATACAGTATGTGTGTCTTGATATAAAATCGTGTGGAACATTTAGCTCACCCTGCTCTTCAGTCAAAGCAGAATGCTTTATTACTTCACATTAATGATACCACCACTTTGGAAATGTGAACGAGTAATTACTGTATTTAAAATGTTCTACTCAGTACTTTGGAATGGTGCTAATAACTGTTATGTACAGTTTTTGAATTTGAAATTCTGAAGCGGGTCATTTTTCTTCTGACACCAGTAATGTGATGATCTGCTGTTGGCAGCACCATCTCATGTCCAGAAGGAGTCAATCCAGCTGCACCGCTCTAAAGTCGTGACATTGAAGGTGATGGAAAGATAGTTTCACTAACACTATTTTTCAAGTGTACAAATTGTATCAATTTCAAATTGTATCAATCATTTTGTGGCTGATGAATGGAAGTGTTTGGTGGTGATGTGTTCAATTGCAATCTTTTATAGAGTATCCCCTCTGCGCACACAGACATGCACACACAGGTGTAGACACTCAGAGATTTGTCTTTACACACATCTTATACAGTATACTGTATATATATATTTCCTAATCCTTTTTGTTCAGTAAAATTGCCAGCTGTATTTCCGCCTGCAGAATAAAATTCTGTCCTTTAACGACATGGCCCAGTGTTGTTTTTTGTTGCATGTTTTCTAATTTTGTACTCACTCTTCCCAAACACTCCCATTTTTAGATTTTCTTATACAGTAGGTCACCAGCTGAACTTTTTGTCCTCTTTTACTTGTGTTTTAGGTAACCAGCATATGAGAAGTCATTTTATTTCTTGGCTACTAAACAAATATAACCATCATGGCATACATTGAAGACATTATGAGCCTTGTGACCTCTGTATTAGTTGACTTTTCTTTCTACGGATTATCAGATATGACCACAGTATGGCATTTCAGCCTTTCAATGATCCATTAGGTTTCTGGTAACAACGTTTGGGCAAATAATTGACCGAACTGTATCACTGACGTTTCTTTGAAACTAGGATTTTAGACTATACCTGGATTGCTGTCAAAGCTGAAAGGAAAAAAAGTCCAGGAAAAGCTGGTCATGTATGAAAGAAAGCATTTGGAAAATCGACTGTGGTTTGCACAATACTTTAAAAGTTGTCTTGTCAATATTTAGTAGCTTTTAATTTGCGGCAGTGACAGCTAAGACCTCTTGGGACATGTTTGTCACAAGATGCATAAGGTTGCACAACCTTGTTCTATTCTTCTACTTAAGTTAGTAGCAGACAGTAAGATAACATCCTACACCCACCAACAAATCCGACAGCTGATACAATTCATCCATCCATCCATTTTCTCCCAGGGGAGCCGGAGTCTATCCCAGCAAGCAATGGGTCCAAGGTACGATACAACAGGATGGGATGGCAGTCCAAAAGACATACACAGACACACACACCAGGGCTAGTGTTCCCAGAAGCCAACTAACCTATTATTGTGTAGTTGGACTATGGGAGGAAACCGAAGCACCTGGAGGAAACCCACACGAATGTTGAGAGAACATCAGATTCCATGCAGATAGCACCCCAGGTCTGGAACTGAACCCAGAGCCCCAGTGCTGAGAGGCAACAATGTTAACCACCTGGTACAGTTCAATGCAGATAAAATGCTTCATCTGCATTCCTCCTTATAATGCCCAGTGTTGGACTTCCAAAGGTCTTTAACAAAAACAACCCTCAGATTTATCTGTTCAGGAAAATGTGGTACAGCAGTTTCTCAAAGCATTTCTTGAAGGTATGACCATTGTGATTGGTTTAATTTTTCCTTCAGTCTCCACAGTTGCACTTTTTCCACCACTTAGCTTATGCTAACTCCTTTCAGTGGAAGTCAACAAAAAGTTATTTTTTACTACATGTTCTATGAAGTCATGCAGAGATGTATAGATTTTTGCATTTCCTTATACCTTCCACCACTCTCCTCATTAAAAAACCAAAGGGATGACAAATAATATAATTTGACTATGATATTTTGAAAGTTTCTCTCTTCCTCCTAAATATGAAGTGAGAAAAGTGTTGTCACAGCAACACACGCGTCAGTGTAGTCCCTTAATGATTTAATGTAATCTTCTGCCAATATCTGGAATCGGTTTCATGTACTGGCCTGCTGTGTTGACAGATTTCAACACAATCTGGCACCTGAGTAAGGCAGTCATGAACATTAATGTCAACCACCCTCAAAAATGTAATGTGGTTTATTTACACTTTTAAATGCTGGAACATATAGCACATAAGGTGTTCAGATATGTGACTTTTGAAAGTTAACATTAGAAAGGTGTTAAAAATTATGTGAAAGCCAAATCCAAATAGCGCAAATCTAGCTTTATCCTTTCTGATGTTGTTTTGAAGCTCAAGTTGTGATTCTACTGTGTTTAAGAATGTTTTTGAGCTCTTTGGTCATTTTCCTTGTCATTGGCATTTCCAAATTATGGAGATAAAACTTTATCAACATTCATCTTGTGTAATTTGTTCCCCAGAGGATCTTAGTTGTAAAGTTAAACACACACTGCTGAATATGAAAAAGCCATCAAACACAAAACAATATTCTCACTTTGAAGAAAGTGCTGAAGAATAAAAACAACCTTCACCACTAAATCTTGTCAATAACACATATTTTACCATCGTGTAAAATTTTACTTTCATTCAGTAAATCACTGATTTTTAATCAGCCTTTATATCTGTTAACAATACAGTGCAAATGATCCCATCGGGAATCATTCCTTAGGGGATTGTTAAAATCTCTCAAAATAAAGGTTTTAGTTTAAATTGGGGATTTAAACACATATATGATGGGATGTGAAACTATGACACATAATTAATAATTCTGCTTGCTTTTAAAAACACCATAATCTTGAATGATGTTTCATATATATATATACAGTATATGTGTGTTAGAATCTAGAATAGAGCATATTTATGGAACAAATAAACTAGGTATGAAATGCAAATGACATGACAGAATCCCACCTCGTGTAAAACTGAAATGCACTGAAGTAGAATCATCAGTTGATTTATACAGAACTATGACTTGTTGTCAAGAAATCTGAAAGAGCAACACCCTCTTAAAGAACTATGATGGTATATATCACATTAAAAGTATGTCCATCCAAGCAACACTGACAAGCAATTGCAAAACTAGTACTGTTGATTGAAATGATTGTAGCAGAAAGCCAAAGCTTTCTATTAGTTATATGAAGCACTCAGTGTATGTTCTGAATTGTAAATGGCAAACCAGCACAGATCTTGCTAATGATCCAGGTGCAAGTGCTCATGTTATTAATGGGATAGTAAGGTATACTTACTGTAGATACAAAGTGGTCACAGTGTGATGGAAGTGTTTTTTTTTTCTCCTGCCTGCTTACACTTTCTTGTTTAGCTTCCTCTCCACAAAGGTTTTCAGGCAATTACACACGTTGTGATCACCTTGTGCAGATCAATGAAATTTGTCAATTGTTGTTATAGTTTTTTGCAAAATGGAAAATTAGTTATTCATTATTTTTATGTATGTTCTTTTAAAATTATTTATACTTTTTTTCTTATTTATAATTTACCAGATGCTTTTATCAGAGATGATCAAGCATATGACTGTGGAATAAATATGATTTTAAAATGTAATTGTTTTATTTTTCTAACATCCAATTATGAATAATGATAATTAATTCTAGTCTGCTACATAAAGACTTAAAAATGGTCTTTAATGTGACAAGCAATCAGCACTTTGTTGATCTTACAATCAAGTAATAAAGAACAGATTTATTATCCTCTCTTTGTTGTAATATTTAAACATGGCATTGTATTGTCAGACTTTGGAGAAAATTGTTTTTAAAATGTCTTATAAAATATAATGAGTGTTATGTAAGTTAACAAATATGATCGGTCTGTAAAAATACGAATAAACTTCAACAATAACCTGGTTTTCTTGACTGTGTCATGTTCCAAGGAGTATGGAATACTTTGTCTTCAGCACTGTGAAATTTCCAAATATAGAATTGTTGGATGTGTTCATCAATAGAGACCTCCACTGTGTTAATCGCCCATAAATAATAGAGTATGAGATGTATCCAATTATCATTATAGGAAAGGAACGAGTCTCTTACAAAGCCAAATTATTATGTCCACATAAATTACACTGATGAGTACAAGAGAAGGTTTAGAGATGGGGACTGTAATGAACTAGATGGACTGAGGCAGCAGACTGTCTTTTAATTATAAGCAGTCTTGCCAAAGGCTCTCCTGCTATCTTTGAGGCATCATCAGTTATACAGTTCTATATCAGGAAAGTGAGATTCATGCATCAGATTGAGCTATTGACTGCCCTCCAGATTTATTCATACCCCCACTGAAATATGAACAAAATGTGTTGAATATCAGAAAGACTCAGAGGTCGGATCTTTTTGGATAAATGCAGCATTTTACATCTAAAAAAGTGGTACTGTATTCTTAATGGTGCTGCACAAAGTGACTCCAGCCAGATTCGAAGAGCAGATCTTTTCCATGATTTATTATAAGGAATTATAATTATTCGAATGAATGTATCCAAAGCTCGTTACCTGGAGTTGGGGTAGCCATTTGGCCTGGGACCCCCAGAAGTTTATTTTCATCTACTAGTAGCTTTTGCACAACTGCACCCAGGACAGTCCTCTTTCCTGCCCCCTATGTCCATGCTTTTGCTCACCCTGTCCAACCTTGTACTCTTCCCATAAGAGCCTGTCTGACCAGCAGTGCTTGCTCTCTCTCAACTGGTCTCCAAGATGGTGAGGTGTCGGACCCCAATTCTCCTGCTCCAGACTGCAGTTTAGAAATGACTAATGCCAGACATACTCCGCTCCTCGCGATGGCCTTCTCTTCTACAGTGTAGCTCCTCTGGATGACGTCAATTCTCCTCAGTACTCCAATACGTCTGTGCCACTGGCGCTGCTTCACATCCCCTCCTCCATGCCCATAACGTCTCTCTCTTTGTCTTTCACTATTTCTGTGTCCACAGCACTCGCTTTTATCCCCATTCCACTTTTTCATCATCAGGGAATTTGAGCCCCAGCAATATCTGTCACGCCCTCTGCAGCCAGAGGGCGCTCCTTCTCTGTCCTGTCCCTAGTTTCCTGCCTGCTGTCCTTCCGGTCCCTCTCTTTCCCTTGGGCTATATATCTCCGGGTCTTGCACTCTGCCCTCGCTCAGCATTGACGTTCGGATGTCCTGAGACCCGCCTAGCACCAGGTCGCCCCACGTCCGCTACCTGAGGGCATAGGTTTCTATAAGGCAATCCTGAACTCTTTGCACTAACGAGCCCGGGCCTTTTTCATGTTCCGCCGCTATGCATCTTTTTCTGCTCTCCTGCCTCTCCACGGTTAGTCCCTTTGGACGTCCGTGACAATATCTTTTGGATTTTCCCCCTTCCCTAATCCTCTGTTTCTGCTGCCCCCACAGGAGTGCTCTTAGCTGCTAACGCTCAGTCCGCCAGCCTCTGCATTGAGTCTGGACTCCTCATTCACCCCTCGCTGCCCTTACCACCCAAACGGCACCCATGGCCCAGGCGGTGGTGACAACAAGCCTCTTTTTCCCCTGCTAACATCCAGTCAATAGTGGTGTTAGAAGACCCCACATTTTCCAC